AATCCAAGCAGTGGGGACATTTTTATAGATGCATTTTATGTATACATTTTTGTCCCTTTTAAAACCATGGTCTTTTATTGTGCTTTTTAATGTAAATCATTCAATGTAATGTCTAATCTGCAGCACAAAAGAATAAAGCATTAAGCGCTACAGTCAGACATGATTATTTGCATGATTGACTTTTCACTTGAATTAACTGAATAACTTCCTCATAAACAAGGGAGTTTAGTAGTGTAGAGGGTATAAGCCCCAGCAGATTTGAAGTTGACATAAATGGAAGCACAAAAAGTTGGTTGGCTTAGATCTACATCTAAGTTTAACCTGCGGGTCTGCTCAGATGACCCACCTGTGCAGGGCTCATGCACATCAAGCTTTTGTTAACAGCGGGACAGGTGACTAACGTGTGATGCAACAATAAGAAGTGGTGTAGATGGCCTGAATATTATGTGCTAAAAGAGCTGGCTTCTATTTCATTGTTTCCATTGAAGTGTTAAGTATTGTAGTGTTGTCTCCAAAGAAAAAGTAATTGTATTATAGCTTGTTAATCCTCTTTTGGTGTACTGGATAAGTTAACACCTTATTGTAGAGGTTGTTTTTGTTCAACACATTCTCAGTGAGAGTGGTGGACATACTTTTTCTGGGTTGTGTCACTCATCAGTACTGTGTGTGTCTGCTGTACAGCGGTCTTCAAATCCCAGTTCTCAATGAAATGACAAATGATGGTAACATGACTCCGTGGAGAGTACTTTCCACCAGTCTGTGGTAACACTTAGTCGACACGTTGCAAATCAGCCCTCAACTCTGCTGCTCTTTCCTCATCCATTTATTCCACTCTCGTAGCTGTTGTTTGGTGTGATGGTGGCTTGTGATGTTTGATAACTCATCTGTTTTGATTTTATGAAGGACAAGAGATATTCTTAATAAGGTGTGTCACTGACATGACTGACAGGCAGGTGCAGTGTAGCTGAGCCTGACCTCAGCTCCAGCTGTTAGCCTGCCGTTAGGTTGAGACAGCATTTTCAACATAACCTCCATGGACGGATGGTACAGTAACCAATGGATGATGTCACTGAGGCTTTGTCCATGTTTATCTAAAGTCTATGGCTCTAAGATCAAATGGTTAAGCACTGAACAAGTATTTCTGTGACATGTAAGTTTAGCGCCACATATCTGTCACTGCACGTTATAATTGTCTGTTATGCCGAAGTACATCCACACATCACTTTTCCTGCTCACGGCTGACATGACATGTAACGCTAACCACATTGAACTATTGTAGCCGGAACAAACACGTGCAAAGGTGCACCAGTAGTGAAATATAACCTTATGCTGTATCGCCTAATGACAACAAAAACAAGTACTTGCAGAATCTTAGCCATGCATAATTAGAATTGTATCTAAATATTTGACTTTATGTTTCCCCTAGTTAAACTGATGATGATTGAAAGCCACTTTAGATTATTGTGGACCTCCAGGACCAGGACATCAACACCACTGACAGGGGCCCCCCTGGGAGTTGATGGTGAATTAGTTTAGCACAAAAGGAAACTGGGAAGAGTTATTTTCCATTCAACAGATATTTGAGTTCTTAAGGCCATGACACACCAAGGAGACCGCTGGCTGTCGGTGAGCGGCCGTCGTCCTAGTTTTTGCGGTGTGTCCAGCTCTGTCGCTACCTGTCTTTTTGGCCAAGACAAAAGGCGGCCCCACAGGCTGCCTTCAAACCACTAGTTCTTTGCCATCTGTTTGGTGCATCAGGGCACATGAATTACTGTTGATGCAAGTTAAAAATGCTACTTCCATACTGGGTTTGAAAATGATAAAATCTTTGTTTATTCCTCATTAGCTAATATTGAAAAGAACCTCAGCTTAAAAAATAATTTCAAAAGACTTTCAACCTAAAGCATGCATTCAGGAAAACACAGAACACAGATAAAACACTCTGATGAAGGCCACAAGATGAAAAGCGTCTAATTAGTTAATAAAGTTGATCTTCATACTACAAGTGTTGCTGGAGCTTTTTGACACACTCTAGCCTTTCACTCTTAGTGCACCTAGTTGGTGAAGTTGTGCCAGAAGACTCTGCTTCTTCAGAGATAAAACACAGACAGAGAGAAGGGAAACTCGTCTGATACAGACAGCACAACATATTTCCAATGGATAAAGAAGTGATATTTAGAGGGAAATTTTGTACGAGTCCATACATTTTCTTTAAGTAAAGTCCTGACAGTACTGCAGATGTGTTGGCATTTGTTCCCGAGCTGGCCTGAATTTACGCTACTCCAGGACTAACCTAAGCACGGTTACCTCTTGATTTTAAGATGATCTTATTGCTTTTTAAAGCTCTTAATGGTCTTGCATCCCCCTATTTACCCGATTTGCTTTTAACTTATGAGCCCACCAGAGCCCTCAGGTCTTCTGGTAGTGGTCTTTTAATTGTTCCAAATGTCCAAACGAAAACCTATGGTGAGGCATCTTTTTATTACAATGGCCCCTGTCTGTGGAACAATTTACCAGGAGACCTGAGGGCAGAACACAATGTAAACATTTTTAAAAGCAAACTCAAGACATACCATTTTAGTAAAGCTTTTAACTGAATCTCATTTCATCAAGTTTTATTACGTTATGAACCTCCTGTGTTTCTTAATTTAAAATAAATGATAGCGTTTCCTCAGTACCTGTTCTTATCTAGTTATTTTTACCTTAGTTTTTGGATTGTGGGATAGGGGTGGGGGAGGGAGTCATGTTGTTGCTGTTGGATTTATGTTGATGTAAAGCACTTAAGTGATACATTTGTTGTATGAAAAGTGCTATACAAATGAAGTTTGATTGATTGATAAGGCAGTAATACAACTCATGAACGGCTTTAAGTAATTATGAAGCGTGCTTAGTTTACCAGACAGGCATTTTTTTTAAATAAAGGGACGGGCGGTCGAGTGTGCGTCTGCACATATGAGAACACACAGAACATGACAGCTACTTTACTGACTTTGTGGCTTATTTTGAGTCATGTTAGTCAGATACATCCAGAACACATCGAGGTTTCTCAATAATGAAAGCTTGCCAAGGAAGTGTACCGTGCTTGAGCACGGATCGGAGCACTCACACTAGTCAAACTAACTGGCCTTTAGGGGTTGATTGCGTAGTGTGAGTATGCCCTAAATTAATATTTGGACCCTCCAAGAACCACTTCCATCTCAAGATGTAAATCTATGATCTGGGAGATCACTGACTGATTGATCAATATTTAACATTCAAATCAATACATCTCTGAATAAGAACTGGTCAATTAGGACTGGGTAAGATATATCAATATAGTGTTAAGCTATATTAAGTAGTAAGAGCATTTAGTTAATATATACGTATATATAATTAAAGATACCTTACAAAAAGGTTATACATTTCTTTAGTAGACACGTCAGTTACCTATTTCTCCTCTCTCTGTCTGTCCCTCTTTACCTTGCTCCTCCTCTCATTTGTCTGTCCCTATTCATCCTGTTACTCCTCTTTTTTGTCAGTCCCACTTCTCCAACCAGCCTCTCCTCTTTTGTCTGTCCCTCCTCACCTTACTCCTTCTCTCTCTTGTCTGTCCCTCTTCACCCTGCTCCTCCTCTCTCCCTCTACATCCTGCTCCTCTCCTCTCTCCCTCTTCACCCTGCCCCACCTCTCTCCTCTGTCCCTCTACATCCTGCCCCACCTCTCTCCCTCTACATCCTGCTCCTCTCCTCTCTCCCTCTTCACCCTGCTCCTCCTCTCTCCTCTGTCCCTCTTCACCCTGCTCCTCCTCTCTCTCTCATCCTACTACTCCTCCTCTCTTTGTCAGTCCCTCTTCTTCACCATGTTCCTCGTCTCTTTGTCTATCCCTCTTCACCCTGCTCCTCCTCTGTCCCTCTCTGACCAAAACTTAAATGCCACCTCCAACACAAAATACAGAGCTGTGTGTTTTATGCAGGTAAGGAACTTCTTTTTTTTTTTGCCTATATGACATTTGGCATATTTGGATTTGGCTTATAAATTTACCTTGTTTCTATCTCTATCCCAATTCAGCTAAAAAATACCAAGATCATATTTTTGATCCCTATCACCATTCATATCCAATTAATCAATGATTAATTATAACAACCATGACATAACAATAAAAATAAATATATACACATCAAGAAATGTAGCTCAAAATGACTTATAAAAAGGTGTCAAATAAAGGAGAATGTAAATTGAAAAGCTAAAACAAAAGCGTATTAAAACAAGTACATCAAACACATGTAAGCATGCTTTGCAGGGATACAGATCACAGTTGTAAATGTCCTGTTACATTGTTGAGAGCTGTTGATGTGCAAATGCAGTGATTGGACATGTTGAGTGCTGTGTGCAGAGAAAGAAACCGTGCTGGTGTTCTGACGACCCTAAAGCACATACAGAATACATACCATGATGTTCATTCAAATACATACACACGTATATAGGTTGTTTAAAAAAAAAAAAAAATCATTTGGAGTCGTTCACACCCTGAAATCTGCACACTCATGAGGTAAAAATGTGATATTTGATGATTTATGGACCTGCAGGAGATCATCATGTATGAGAGAGGCAATGTGCTTCAGTGAACACAAGAACAAATCACATCTATGTCACGTTACGTGTCATTCTGGTGAGATAAGTCATATCTAAGTGGTACTGATTCTGTGTGCAGGCCATCCTTCATGACTCTGACTCTGCTGGGCTGGGTGGCTTCACACCGGCCGGGCACAGAGGCCCCGTCCGCCCGGACCAACACCACACCGGGCTTTAGTAACCATTGTATTTGTGCTAAAGTTACACAGATCATCGTGATGTATCCAGGTGCACTTCATTAACTATTTACTTTGAAACGTGCTGCTGTTGGGACGCTAGCTCTCATCCTGTAGCACAGTTTCGTTTCTCTGGTCGCCATCACATCAGCATGCTAACAGCTAGCTCTAAATAATCACTAACAAACCCGTCAAAGCTTTAAGAAGACTCACCTGCCGCCCCCGCTGATTCTTCTTCTGACCTTTCTGCAGATGTGCGGCCCGACTTGAAACCCGGCAGTATC